GAAATTAAGAAATCACATTTGGGAGCATCCCTTTATGATGAGAAGAAAATCTCCATCATAATATTGCAAAGGTTCCACCTGAGCAAGTCCCCCTGCTTGGGCCCAGCTTGCTGATTTGATCCTACCAATCCAGAGAGACAGTTCAGCAAGGCCCTGCTGAAATTAACCAACCTAAAAGGCCCTCTTTGTCACCCCAGTGAAGTAGAACAAGTCAATTCTATACCAAGTGCTTTGGTCAGGCAATAATGGACTTTTCTTTCCTGCAGTAGATCAGCTGACGTCAGTAGGTGGGAGGTCTGCCAAGCCACAACAGGCTGTCTCTGGGGAGCTGGGTATCTGAAAGTCACCAATGTGCTCCCACTGCAGTCAGCATTCAGTATTTTCACTTGTGCAATTACAGGAGACACCAAAAAAGATTATGGGTAAGAGTTTCCCCCCTCTTAACCTTATAGGGTGCTGTCTCTTGTTTATCTACACGAGTTCCAGTTTCTTTTTGCTCCTAAAAGGGTCATTTCTGCAGACTACATTAAACACAGGAAAATTCTCATAAATATCATTAAGAATTCCTGCCATCCAAAGGTGCCACAACCTTTTACCGGAAACTGTCAGAGTTACTGAAATGTCAACTCTGCCTGGGCGCGCCACATTCCTTCCACAACTGAGGCTGCATGCTGCAAGCACCCCACCCCTTCCCTGGCATATGCAGCAGACTGATAAGGCCGACTTCACAGAGAATGTTCCAGGCTGTTCCCAGCCATATGAGATTAACGCCTTTTGAGAGCGCCAGAAAGGAAAAATCTGGGAAACGTGCCATTAAAAAACAAACTCCAATCTTACTAGCCTATCTATCAGTTCCACTAACTGCCTAAAAACCACAACAGAGACGACTTCCTAGGAATGCAATCAACTGACTGCTTATCTCAAAGGAGCCGGCTGTCTTTGATTTTGCCAATCAAGTCCGTTCACATGGAGACTGAAGGCGGGGAAATAAAGTGCTAAGTATATTCTCTACATGTTTAAGGACAACTTCCCATTTAAGGTAACTTAAAAAAAAGGTATATATTTGCAAAATATTATTAGAGAAGGCTGAAGACGTAGGCTACAAATGCTGCAATGCAGCAAACGTTAGCTGCATCATTCAGCAAGTAATGTGAATCTCAGGGGGATAAAACAGGAATTACAACCATGTCCTCTATTGTAATAAATAAAATGAACTTGTCAGCATTCTTACAATACTGCCAGATCTCAGAAGAGTGGGGTCTAAAGATATGAATCTTGGTTAGAAATTTCTAATTTAATCCAAAGATATAGCATGCTTCAGAATGATCCATATCACACACAAACTTATACACAATATCAACTGAAAATGGATTCCTACAAAAGAGATTAGACCTGAATATCTTTGTCTTCTTGATGAATGCCAAGAGACAGCTGTTTCAGGCAGTTCTTGGTATTTGGGGAATTTTCACTTCTCAAATAAAAATTTGGGGGTATTTGGGGGCATAAAATTTGGGGGTATAAAAAATTGGGGGGTATTTATGGGATATATAGCTATATCCCCTTGTATAGGCAGAGGCAGTGGGTAGGAATCACACTGTGTTAAGCAAAAGACTGCAGATACAAACATTTTCGAACCAAAGGTCAAATGCTTTGGACTCTGTAAACCTGGCACCTGCAGTGAATGGTTTAGGATGCCCTCACGCAGACCTTAGTAGAAGAATTCGGCAGAGTTTCTCTATGGAATCCCAAAACAAAGAAAAAAATCATAGCGAGACTGAAAGGAGTCTCTATTAAAAACAAAGCATTGGGATTGCCATTCTTTCAGCAAGCTGAATGTACTGGATGTAAGAGGCATTTGGAATACTACAAAATGAATTCTGATTCTCAGGCAGGACACCACTAGACATACAGTTTTGCAAGAAAGGGATTTTTAGGGACTAACAGGATGAACGGTCATTTGGTTATGGAAAAATTCATAATCATCATCCAAAGCAAAAGGTCACAGAAATCATTCATCAGTTGTTTTTGTTGCTTAGTCAGAACCCAAATGTGCAGAACCGACAATGTCTTTTTTCTGTGGCTTAGGATGCCAGCCTATTACTAAATTTTAGATTTGCAAAGCAAGAGAACTATATCCATGGATGTGGAAGGGCCTCCCTAAGAACAAACCACCAAAGAATTGATTAGCACTCATAAAATTGTATACCAGTTGATTCTCAGGTCAAACAAAATTAACTCAAAACCAGCTTAGCTGCAGATTTTAGTGGCAGATTTGATGGTAAGCAGAGAGGTCAATAATACATAAAGGATGACTGAACACCATAAATAAAAACAAGTATTTTTGCTTAAACCACATTCCAAACAGGATTGTGGATCAGCATGTCAGCTTTCAAACTGATTAATTCATTTCAACTTGTTAGCGCAATTGTGCAGAGGTGAGCAGGGACTTAGCTTTAAGAAAGCAAAAGATTCATACTGCATTGCATCAAAATCCAGAAATGCAGAGCAATATTGAGAAAACTTACTTCTGAATGCTTCCCAAATACTATCTTGCTGCTACTTACCTTTTAACCTGCAAAATTCAGATGAGAGGTATTTAAGTTCCTTATTGTTACTATGACTCAAAACAGGAAATGGTTACAATGTGGCCCATTTTTATAAACCTCATTTAAATAAATAACTCATCTGATTTATAAAAAGGCCTGCCTTGGATTTATCACCTATAATCACTAGAAATTTCCAAGGTTTATATTTCTTATTTTGGGATATCAAGATACTGAATTTTTTTTTTTAAAAAGGTCTAATTTAGAAAACAAAGACTGTACACAAATAAAACAAAGAGAGCTGTTTGTTTACTTATTTTTTTGAGACAGAGTCTTGCACTGTCCCTGGGCTGGAGTGCAATGGTGCAATCTCGGCTGATTGCAACCTCCACCTCCAAGGTTAAAGCGATTCTCCTGCCTCAGCTTCCCCAGTAGCTGGGATTACAGGGGCCCGCCACCACGCCCGGCTAATGTATTTGTATTTTTAGTAGAGATGGGGTTTCACTATGCTGGCCAGGCTGGTCTCGAACTCCTGACCTCATCATCCGCCCGCCTTGGCCTCCCAAAGCACTGGGATTACAGGCATGAGCCACCACACCCCGCCGGACAGCTGTTTTTTAAACGTGAAAAGGGAAGCTCTATTTTATTATAGAAATTGTGGTGGAAGAAGTCAATGGAACAGGAAACAAGCCCAAGTTTACAATATTTGTCAAATTTTAAAAACAATTTTTACTATGATTTTTCAGATTATTTTTTCCAAATATCTAGGATAATCTGTTTTGTCCCTTGGTTCTTAAAAACCAAGTAGCCACCAATAAAAAGTCAGCAAACACTACATGCAAACACCATAATGGTGATAAGAAATTAATATATTCATGCCTTAAAGAGAGAGAGGTTAAAGAAAAAAAAAAAAAGGGAAGGCTTTGAAAATTTTCAAGTAAATTTACTAATACTTCTGATAATTTAACACCAAAAAAACCCCAAACAAATCCTAAACAATTTGTTTAACAGAAACATCATGCAGGCAGGGTTTTTCTCCCCCTTTCTTTGGTTCATTCAACCTCTTTGACACAAATATGCCTTCACTGCAAGCCAGGCAAAACCAAAAAGGCAACCCGTTTTCTGCATGCTGGTCAAATACCTGGACTCTGCGTTTACGAAACGATGACAACATGATGGAGGAATGTGGAGTCTAAAGAGGGAGGGGGAAGAGCAAGATAACAAGCTTCTAAGGGCAAATGGAACAAAATTATGAAGAAAACAGATATTTAAAAACATACGAATACAGATTAAAAATCCAACTTCAGATATTTTCTCAGTGTCTTCTCTCTGACATTCTGTATAGCGTCTAAATCCCACAAGGGATTTAAAATGTGGAAAGAAAACCAAGGTTGCCAGGTCTTGGCAGTTACTATCTGGATATGCTGCACTGGTCAAGTCTCACTTTATTTTGGGTCTCAATTTCCCCACTTGTCAAAGTAATAATACTGAATATACTTTTTCAAACTAAACACGCCCTCCTCCTGAGGATCCCAGGACAAGATGATTCCTAAATCCCCTTCCATTCAGCAATAAAAGAGCATGACTTCATGAAATTATCACAAAGTAGAACTCAAGCCACAAAGATCTGACTTGGGCCTAGCTTGCCAGTACACTTACTTCACAAAATACTATTTCCTGTTCAAAATTGGTACAAGAGAAATATGCAAAAAAGGTGGAAGAGAGGTGATGGTTCACAGCACAGCTGCTCCAGTCAAGTGGCCCCAAGTGATGAACTATGCGGTCCTCCTCCTCCTCCTCCGCATTCCTGGAGTCAGCATTTGCCACTAGGGCGTTGCATTCTACAGTACAGCCGCAGCTGATAATGCTGCAACAGACCTGAGTGCCTAACTAGCGGGATCCTTGCATAGCCCACGGAGGACTGATTACAAAGGCAGGCCAGCCTTGAACACATTATCCATTCTTAGTGTAGATTCCGCAGTGACAGGACATGGGGGACTATTTCTGAGATCCACTTTTCAGGATGTGCAGTTGACCCCCCACTTTGGATGAAGGCAGGTAAGAAAAAGCAGAAAAAACTCTAACCCAGGGAACCAAAAGACATACTTAAAACGGCTCTCCCCATGTCCACCTCTTCATCAGATTGCTTGACAGGCTTACACTGTAGCCTATGACATATCCAATTTCTCCAATTATTAGATGGCTACAAAACACACTGCCAAGACCAAAGCGTATCAGAGAATCAGTTACTAGGCTGATGGTTTGCCATAAGAACTGCTTCACACTTGTCCAGAATGAAGCAAATCCTCCTTTCCAGTTTCTCCATCTAGGTCCCTGGATACCAGTTAACACACTTTGAGGCTCCCTTTGAGTAATTATTGGCCCAGTTACTGAAAAAGGTTTATTGCTAATTTCCTGCACAGAGGCCCTTACTGCAGCACTTCTTTCTCCCCGTAGCACATGTTAAACTTTGACTTCAATTTGACCTTTCAAAATCTAAGACATTAGCTAGCTGCAATGAAAGGGAAAATAAATGACTAGTTAAGGAGTCGGAACCTTGGCTCAATGGCTTCATATAGCTGAGTGTTCCTGCTGCTATTCCCAAGATTTTCTGTTTCCTGGCTCCAAGACACCCCCACCCTTCCATCTTTGATACATTCTGTTTTACTTAAGGCCAATTGCTATGACGACGCAATTTCTCAACACATTATGAAAATACTTCATATGGCCTCTCTCCTGTTATTCCCGAACAGCCATGATGGTTAAGTTTTTCTAAAATACCATGATGAAGACAGAACAAAGGGCTTAAATATTTTAGGATCTATTATATAAAAGAGATCTGATTAGATGTTGTAACAGTTCAAGCATCATCTCAACCCAGCCTTCTGAGCTATTCAGGCTTTTCATTTAAAACATATTCAACTCTTAACTTTAACAAGGCGCTTATTTAAAATATATTTTACTCCAGTACATGAAAGAGACTTTTTAAAGCGATGTTCTATGGGAAGCGTCTAATCAAATTCTCAGGGATAGCTTTCAAACAAAAGACTGTTCTATCATTCAACACTGGTATGGTAGAATTTTGGACACTGTATCTCGACTCGAAAGACCCAGTTCCAGGAAACACACACACACACACGAACTCCAAGCTATTAAGTTATTTGATTTGACCCTCATACCATACAAGCACCGCATCTACCTATTATTTACAAGCAAATCACAACTGGGAAGAAAGAAAAATGTTTATTGCAAGGAAAGAAAAGGAGACGGCCAGTCTCAGACCCTTCTGCGTTCAAAGAGACGGCAGAGATTCGCCATGCAGGATGAAATTAAGGTCAGAGAGCCGTTTACGCTATGCTCGGGCTTCCCGAGCTCTTCCTCCCTCCACGGCTGGCCGGCATTGCTGGTGCCATTCGGAAGAACGAGCTGCAGAAGTCGCTCCCGGCC